TGTTTTTTTTTCTTTTTGTTTTTTTTTCTTTTTGCCTGGTCCAGGAAATTTTCGTTATTACATCTGAGGGGATACCGAAAACTGCAACGAAAACGTGATTCCCAAAATAATTCTGATGCTCATAAGTTGGGTAGTGGCCCAAATCGACATATTTGCAATTCGTCTTTTTGCTTATAATATCGTGTACATTCATAACAAATATACGTTGTTTTAATCATTTCACCCCAACTAAGGCAATAATGCCACTAAGATAGCAGCGGGGTTAATTGGAGTGGGAGAGAATGAGAAGACATTTGTAAGGAAAAAGGGAAATAAAAGAACAGGATTCGAGAAAAAGAAAGATGGTGAGTGACGTCGCATTTAAATTTTATGAGGATCGTACGTGGCAAGGAAGCGAGTTCCACAGGTCAGAAGTGCGAGAGAAGAAACTATTAGAATAGAACTTACGGTTGCATCTAGCTATTTTGATAGTAAAACGATAAAACCTAGTAGCCAATAATGCGCTGAAATTCATGTGGTCGAGGTACCAAAGGAGGAGAAGTAATTGGAACAACAGCCACGAAAGTGGGAAAGTGACTGAAGTCGAGATGCCAGATCAGGACCAGTAATATTACAGACACTTCTGGGAAGTTTGTCTAGAATCTCAAGATATATAACCGGAGTACCAGACTACATATGGCAGCAATATTCAATGCACGGGCGAATGGTAGGTTTATAAATGTGCAAGATGGATTCTGATAAGAAAAAACTTTGACGGTGCGAAAGTAAATTCTTGATTCTAGGTGAGGACTAATAACATTATATTCTTTGGATTTTGTTGAGAATCTCAAGATATATAACAAGAACACCAGACCAGATATGGCAGCAATATTCAATGTATGGCCGAATGGTAGATTTATACGCGTGTAAAATGGATTCTATCGAGAAAAAACTGTCTGGCACAACGCAGTGAACCAACCTTCAGCTTAGCAGAGCTAGCAATTGCTCCAATATAATCGCTAAGTAGAAAACATAAGACCAAGAAAGCGCAATGGGTTTATTTCCTGGAGGTTAGCATCAGCCATTATAATAGAGGTCAAAAATCATTCTGTATGATGATTAAATACTTTCCCGACTCTCCGGTCGAATTCGACGTATGAGGGTCAAGCAGATCAGTTCCTAGGCATCCGAACGCCCGACACCAGCACATGAGATTTGATTATAGTGGTGAAGGATTTCTGCAGAACCATCCACACTTTTTTAAAGGGCCGAATACAGAGACCTGGTGCACTACGTGCCACAAAGTCCCCAAAAGACCCTCCGCAGGTTTTGAATTCAGAGTTGTCCCTCCCCTAGAGCAGCTGCCATCAAAGGCTATAGAACCCAGTCTGTCCTACTATTCACCCATAGCTGGAGGCAGAAGAAGAGGATTCATACATTTACCATGGGTATTAGCACGTAAGTGAATGTAATGTATTTGACTGGAATTCGAACTTGGCTCTCCGATTCTTCAATCCAAGCCGTTAACTATTACTCCACCGAAATATGAAAGGATCTTATCGAAAATTATCTAACATGTCTTAATGAAAATATGCAATATATATATATATATATATATATATATATATATATATATATATATATATATATATATATATATATATATATATATGTGTGTGTGTGTGTGTGTGTGTGTGTGTGAAGAAATATACTCTTAAGGTGTGCTATATTTATGGGATAAAGTGCTCAATATCACAGATAGAGCGTGTGTAAATATAAAGAGAACATTGAAGTCAACACTTATAGGCGACAGGCAATTGTCAGGCTACCAATCGTGGTCTGACGATTGCGTCTAGCACGAAACAGCCTGTCGCCTCTAAGTGTTGACTTCACTAATGTTATATATATATATATATATATATATATATAATATTATATATTATTTGAAATCTTATAAGTATAAGAAACTATACTCGCTCGGAAAACCTTCGGTATATTGATTTGCAAATAAACAAGCCAAAGGGGGAAAAAGGTACAAAAAAAGAAAGAACCAAGAACATGTACGTTAACCGAAAATAATCGTCCAGCATGCAAGTCCAAGGCCCAAAGAAAAAAAACCCGATGCGAGTATCCAAAACAACTAAATAAAGTGCTCGATACAATGAGTAGAGCAGACCTAGTTAAACCTAGAGAGCCAGACAAACCTACCAAGGTTTCACCTAAGGGAAGGCTGGCTTAGGTGAAACCTTGATAGGTTTGTATGGCTCTCTAAGTTTAACTATATATATATATATATATATATAGAAGTGAACATTGAAGTCAACACTTAGAGGCGACAGACTGTTTCATGCTAGGCGCAATCGACAGGCCTGACGCCTCTGAGTGCTGACTTCAATGTTCACTTTCATATTTATATTTACATACGTTCTATCTGTGATATCGAGCACTTTATCCCATAAATATAGCACACCTTAAAACTATATTTCTTTATTTATATATATATATATATATATATATATAGCACTCGGAATTTTGAAGGCCTCAGTGTAGAGATGAAGAGAAAAAATGCATCGAAAATGTTTCCAAGCTCCTCCTATTTCCTATTTCTTCTCTAATGTCATAGAGATTGATATGCTACTAAACAAAAAGAAACAAATCATATTCAATGCGAAACAAAAGACTCATAAATTATCTCAATATAGAAAACCCGTTCTTCCTCACACACTCAATGAATTAAAATAAATTGTGCTTCCCACCAAATCTATCACAAATATACCTGAAAAGAATTTATCTAAACTCAGCATAAAATTTGTGACAAATATATGTAAAACTGTAAGATACTTAAGTAATACAAAACGAAGTAATGAGCAAAAACTTGAAAGAGGAATTTACTCTATTACCTGTAATAATTGCCACAAGTAATATATCGGGGAAACCTCAAGGTATTTAAATAAATGATTATGTAAACACAAAAGGGATCTTTTACAAAACAACACAGTAAACGCATTAATTGCGTGCATAATATTCTTAATTTTCATAAGAAAGACAGTGAAATGACAACAGAGAGATCCAAGCTTTCCAGTAAGGCTTCAGCAGGAGTAGAGAAAAAAAAAGTCACGCTATGGCATAGGAGGGCAAGCGTAACAGCAACAGTAGCAAGAGAATCAACAGAAAACAAACAATAAGAACATTAAGTTCAAGATTCCAAGTTCTAGCTTCGGGACTGTCCCGCGAATAGCCTAGCGGATTAAAGCTTTACTTTATGAAGTTACTAACATAGGAATTGTGAGTTCGAGTCGTGAGCTGGGTAGTACAGACTTAAATTCAATGGAAACTTGATGACAAAAAAACTGAGCAGAATTAAAATCAAAAAATATTATGGAAATTAATATAGTAAAAAAACATTTTTTTTCGTATGTACACTTATTTTATTAATACGCTATATTTTATTTTAAAATTTAAAAAACGGATCCAAGTGTTAAAATGTTAGCACACGTATTGTCTGCTATTTTAATGATTTTTTTATTGCAGACATTTCTTATTCTATGCTTTAGTCTTGATTTTTTGTATACTAGAGGGAAAAGGAAAGAGAAGTTAACTGATCTGTTTATTTTGCCCTGCTCATGCGTCTGCAAATTGAATTGTTTGAGTTTAGCTACGCTTTGAAGATACTCATAAAAAGGCGATTTCGCGACTTTCGAGAACTTGATCAGCGCCTTCAACCAGATAGGAGAGTGACGTCATCATCCCTTTCTCCCTAAACTCAACAGATTACGTCACAGCAACAGCAGGAGTGAGCATCGCCTCCATCACGACCGGCAACTACAGAATTGAACGAAAGATCTCTTCACAAAGAATGTCGTTTTGCGAGCCAAGATTATATATATATATATTTTTTTTAAATATCCGTGATTTTAAAGGATTAAATTTAAAACACGCCATTAAGACATTTTATGGTCGTATGAAACTTTTTCTATAAACTACAAAAGCTCGGATGAAAATAACTGAGATAGCCTTTTCGTTTCGCTAGTAAGTACAAAAAATCCTTTTATTTACATGTCTGGTGTTGAATGGCAAGGAATAATCCCATAGCACTTAAACCAACTATTAGCGAAATTCAAGTATTATTCATTTATGTCTACGTCTAACCGTTGTTTATATTGTAAATAAAGTTTTTTCTTTTTTCTATAAGCATCGAGCGTTTTCTCGTTTATTTCCTTACACTTACGCTTATCTCTTGTTTCCAAACGTGACAAATTTCTCGCTAATACACTATCACTTTGCATCCACTTTTCTTTTAGTTTTTCTATCGGGTGGCCACTGAAAAACTGAGGGGTTCTAAAAAGTCATAACTTCTTCATTTTTCAATCTTTTTTCTCCCCCTCTCTCTCTCTCTCTCTCTCTCTGTTTTTGTTGTTGTTGTTGTTTTTTTTTTTCTTGCAGGTTATAGAGCATGCCTTGGCGATTAAAATGGCTACGTGTGATGTCCAGCAACGAATAAAATTCATTGAACTTTTCTATTCCAGTGGAAGATCAATTATTCAAACACAGAGAAAATACCGGCAACATTTTAATGTCATCACATCTCCTAGCGATAAAACGATTCGGAACGTAAACGCCCGGTTTGAAAGAACTGGATCAGTCGGCGATCTTCCAGGAAGAGGTCCTAAGCGCACTGTGCATAGTGATAGAAGCTGTATGGCAGAGTGTCTTTGAGGATCCATCAGCTTCTATCCGCTCGACTACGCATCGCAGAAACATCGCTTCAGAAGTTTCTGAAACTGTATTTAAAAATGTTTCCGTATAAGATTCAAATAGTTCAAACTTTACTACCTCAAGATGCTCATGTGTTTGTAAAAGTTATTTTTGTTTTATATCATTCAATCTTTCAGTGGCCAATCTGTAGTATTATTGTCCCGTAAATGTTCGAGATCGCAGGCGTCAAAACCAGAAAAGCAATCCTTAAATGAGCGGAAACACATTCCACTGTTTTAGTTTATAAATATACTATTTTCTTTTAGATCTCTTTTCCCAGAGTGTCTATGTTTCTCCCTGCCACCCCCTCTCTCTTTCTCTCTACATGTCTTGTATATACCGGGTGTAACAGCGAAATTGTCCGAATCGTGTAACAGCAACTTTATGTAATTGTTAGATTAAGCTTTGAACCTTTGTATCTTAGAAATGATTCAAGATATCTTACTGGAATTCTCCGAGGATTTTATAACACTATTGAACTCTATTTTGAACAAGAAGAATGTATTTAGCTCTAAGCTGAAATGAGAACTGGATTACTGTGTGATGCCAGACAGTTTTCTCGCCATAATCTATCTTACATGTTTATAAGTCTACCATTCATACATGCATCGAATATCGCTGCCATATCTGGTTAACCCTTCGCCAGAACAGTGCTTCAGAAGATTCTGAAAATAGATTTAAAAATGTTTCCGTATAAGATTCAAATAGTTCAAATTTTACTACTTCAAGATGCTCATGTGTTTGTAAAAGTTTTTTTTTTTTGTTTTATATCATTCAATCTTTCAGTGGCCAATTGTCCCGTAAATGTTCGAAATCGCAGGCGTCAACTTCTAGTTTATTTCTCAGATAAATAAGGAACGAATCTCTAGATGTGAAATACAAGACAATCTCCGTAGATTAAATAAAGAATTGAACACGGATATTTGATATCTGTTGGAAATAGTTTTTTTCATTTATGACACCTGTTTGTTTAGCTTAGTTTGACACAAGGCAATATGAATAGATGAAGCACTGATGAACTTACAAAGTATCTGACTCTAGTGATCAATTCAGTATAAACATTATATTTAGGTATTTTTAGATAACCTATCTTATTTTACTTATGTAGTGTCCCTTAAGGACGTGGGCACGCATGGCTCTCAACAACATCCTATCCTTTTTTCTGTTGATAAGGTTTGTCTTTTCAGCATCCCTCTAATGTCGTCTATTTACACAAGCTTGTTAAGTAGGTTACCGCTCTTTCCGTCTGTCACTCTTGACTTGAATATATATTGTGAGTGTCAAATTTTCCAAACGCTCTTTCCTCACTATTGTAACCTAGGAAGTGTTACTGAATGAGGAATAACCAAAACGGAGGTTGGAAATGAAATGGTAATCTTTATAACATCAACAAAATACAATACTCGCTAGCGGCATGAAGTAGGTAAACCACTGATAGTGGTGGACTACTTAGACAGCACATTACCTCCACTTACAATAGTGTCCATTATTATTTATGAGGATTGGGACATACCCATTAGTGTTCATAGGTACAGTATATAACACTCACTATTTCATCCTAGAAATTTTAATTGTCTCTTTCTGATTTAACAAGTATAAGTATCGTTTTTGTTTCTGTTGATAAGGTTTGTCTTTTCAACATCCCTCCCAATCCCTCTACTGTAATCTAAAGGGTGTTTCGTTAAGACGGATCATATATAATGGTGTTTCATTAAGACAGATCAAAGTCAGCAGTAAATAAATCAGTGTTATTGGTGAAAATTTATTTATTTCTCTATTGGATCATGGTACTTAAGTCATGGCAATTATGCGTGAAAAATAATATTGCCCAAATGTCAGCCAAATCTGAAAGAAAAAGCAAAAAATCATTAGACGCTTAAACTTAATTCATATTTAAAATCGGTTCAAATTATTGGAACAACCTTTATTTACACAAGCTTGTTAAGTAGGTTATCTGCATTTTCCCTCTGCCATGCTTGACATGAATATATCTTGTGAGTGTCAAATTTTCTAAACCCTCTTTCCTCACTATTGTAACCTAGGAAGGGTTAATGAATGAGGAATAACCTGAACCGAGGTTGGAAATGAAATGGTAATTTTTACAACATCAATAAAATACAATACTCGCCAGCGACGTGAAATAAGTAAACCACTGCTTGTGGTGGACTACTTAAACAGCATATTAACCCCACTTACAATGGTGTCTAACTTATTTATGATGATTGGGACATATCCATTAGTGTTCATAGGTACGGTATATAATACTCACTATTCATCTTAGAAATTTAATTGTCACTTTTTGATTTAAGAAGTGTAAGCGTCGTTTTTGTTTCCATAAATCTTCCTCGTTATTTACATGTTCCGTCCAAGGTATTCGCAGATTCCTACTGTAGAACTAAATCTCTGTTGCCTCACTCGCAACGAATTCTTTACTCTATGAGTAATTCACAATCTCTGTCTTCCACTATGTGTCACTCAGAGCAACACTATTCTACTCCTAATAACTGTTTCCCATAATACGTCACTCCTAGTATCTCTTTTGGATAATGTGAAACTCACAATGAATGCTATCTTGAACTATGTGCCACTCGCAACAACACTCGTCGACTCACAGCAGCTGTCTTCCACAATATTTAATTCCTGGAGACTGGATTGAATTATATGCCACTTATAACAAAGAATTTCCACTATATGTCAACAACAACAAATAATTTCCACTATATGTCAGTCACAACAAATAATTTCTACTATAAGCCACTCACATCAAATAATTTCCACTATATGTCAATCACAACAAATGATTTCCACTATATGTCAATCACAACAATTAATTTCCACTATATGCCACTGACATCAAAAAATTTCCACTATATGTCAATCACAGCAAATGATTTCCACTATATGTCAATCACAACAAATAATTTCCACTATATGTCAGTCACAACAAATAATTTCCACTATATGTCAATCACAACAACTTCGGCTCGCAAAATTGAGAGCTACATCACTAAATCACACACAAGTTCGAGTCATTTATGGAGTTTCGACCTCAGCCGAACAGAAGTAGTTGAAATTGACAGTACATTTGTAGTGTAAGCGTATCTTATTCAGTGATTCAACACATAATCCTAATATCTTGCGATTTAAGATTTTGTTGACTTAGGAAATTGAACTTTTACTCCTCGAACGCTACATCAAATTATTCAAGAACCATCCCGTCACCCGGAATAGATAAACGAGGCCGCCATGTTATTGGAGATTGATTTTTTTTTTTTTTACAGCTTATCAAACTTTTATAGATTATTTAAAGCCAGAAAATATTTTCAGATTGGAAGAATTTTAGGAAGACAATAATTATTTTCTGATACAAGTTCTACTAATTAGCTCATAGCAGTTGGATTCATAACTCTCTCTACATTTTCCTGCAATTTTATTTGAGAAATATTAGCTGATTTAAAGTTTAATTAATTTGATTTGAAAAGAAATATTATTTACTTTAAGTTTAAAATAACAGAGAAATGGATTTTTAAAACAAACAGTAGCGCGATTAAATGCTTGTCACGAGTAATTTACAAGGTGCTGACACTTTTATTATTGCTCTAAGGAGACCTTATCTGTTAAAACTTAATTTAAGAAAATGACGGATTAATGCTTTTTTATATAATTTTTAAGTACTCAGTAATCTTAAAACGTTGAAAAATATTCTCCGTAATCTAATTTCAGGAATGTTGAATTTAAATTTACTATAGTCATCGATCTTATTTTCTGATTATGGTCGACCATACGTTCAAACAGGGGTATGTTAGGTATACATATTTTTTTTAAATATTGTGTGCAAAAGCGTTTTAATGAAGTTTTCAATTTTTGATTCGTAAATATAGTTTTCAGTTAATAATAATAACACCTATCCGGATTGAAGTAATGTAGAATTTTAAAAGATTTATAATATTATAAATTATTAAATTAAATTTTTTAAAAAATGAAAACAATTCTTGTAAAAATTAATTATTTACTGAAAAAAAAATCTTTCTATTCAAGACCATAGTATCCTTAATAAATCTTATTTATAAAAGCAAATAAATCCTGTTTTTTTTTTAAAAAAATGATGATTTACATTCTCCAAGGAAACCTGCTTTTAACTAATAAAACAAATTTTGAGATTGAAATTTAATTTCTCGAAATTTCATGAAATAAAGGTGAGGGGCTAACATAAGTAAAAAAAATATTTTTACTAAGATTTTCTAAAACAAAATTTCAAAAATAATGCCATTTATGTGTGAATTAATCCTTAAAAGTTTCATAAAAATCCGACAATGATTTCATTTTTGCAAGAATTTCCAATTCAATGTGTTTTCACCTGAAAAAGAGGGGAAAACATTAATCATGAAAATAACGTCGACCCCTGACGCCAACGAACAAGATTTTTAACGAAAATTTTAAGCGTAATAGAAAGGATTAAAAAATGCTTTTTTTCTTTCCTCTTAATAATAACATAAACATTTTGAGGATATAATTTTGTTTTTATTTGGGGCCTTTTTTCAGTATAGAGAACCTAATTTTAAATAATTGTTTCTCTCATGTAGTTTGCTCTATATGTAAAATATATTCCTGTTCATTGTTTCAATCAATCTCATTTTATTGCGTAATCACTGTTTTTTATTACGTAGTGTTCAATTTATTCGATGAAGTACTATTAATTATAATTATTAATTTTCAACAAGCATTTAGTTTATCATAATTTAATTTTGCTTTTATCACACCATCCAGATCATTATTTTAAGTTAGTGTTTCATTCATTTCGGATCCTGGCTTCATACTAAAAATCGTCGAATGATGACAGGGACTCCTGAAGAATTTAGCAAAGGAAAGTGAGAAGACAAGAGTAAGAGAATCTCCTCACAGATGAAGAAGGAAGTCGAGACAACAGAAATGTAGTTCTACAGTAGGATTCTGCGAATAACATGGACGGAACATGTGAATAACGAGGACGTTTTATGGAAACAAAAACGACATTTATAATTAAAATAAGAAATAACAGATATTAACACGAAAGAAATACTAGGTAAAATTATTATTATTATCATTATTATTATTATTAATAATAATAATAATAATAATAATCCCAAACATTGTGAGAACGCAAAGACAAAATAACAACTTCTTGTTGCAATGGCAGTCCCTGCAAATTGTAATGTATCTTTAAAGATCTGTCTATATTTCTGAGATGAGGTATTATGTACATTATTTACATTATTCTGACTATTGTCCTCATCTTTGTCGAGATGGATACATGGCACAGTAGATAAAGGCGTTAGTTAGATCCAGTGACAGGACCCAAAGAGTGTGAGTTCAATACCTGGTTAAGGCAGTGGAGAACTTACACGGGTAAAATTAACAGGAGATAACTGACATCCATTAAACATAGCACGTGGAACTAGGGTTCAGTTCGACATTCCAACCACCTGAAGAAGGCCGGAATCGAAACGTTGTAATAAATATGGCGACAAAGATGAGGACAATAGTCCGAATAATGTACATAATGTATCTTTAAAGATATTTAAAAAAAAAAAAACTATCAAAATACAAGGACCTTGAAGTGGAAATCTCGAAATGTGGCACATGAGGACATCAACAATTCCAGTTCTAGCTGGAGTCCTTGGAATGACTGGCCCTTGCATGGAGTATTGCTGCCATATATGATCTGGAGCCCCCTCTGTTTGCCTCGGGGTTCTTGATAGGCTCCAGAGGCGGATATGCAATATAATTGGCCCTGTTCTGGCATCTCGTCTACAGTCACTCTCTCACAGACGCGCCGTCGCCTCTCTCTGTCTTTTTTACAAATACTTTCATGGCAATTGCTCCGAGGAGCTGCATTCACTGGTTCCCAGACTTCATGAATTCAAGCGTCCTACGAGGCTGGCATCCCGATCTCACCCTTTCACTGTCGAAACTCCTAAATGTAGCCGTCTCTTCTACTTCAATAGCTTCACCTCTCGCCTGTGGAACTCCCTTCCCTATTCGAGTTTCTCTGAGAGCTATAATCTCCAACTATTCAAATATAATGTCAATCGACATCTCCAGTTGCCTTGATCTATCCACTATCCTTCTCCTCATCCTTTCCTCTATCACTCCTATCTGATCTTACTCCAAATCTTCTGTAACCCCTTGCGTCTTTGTGGCTTCTCGCCTTGCTTGGGGTCAAACGCTTAAAAATAAATAAATAAATAAAGTCTCTGATTGACTCATTGAAGGGATTCCTGGTAGCACATGCCCCGCAAAAATGCCCAGGGAAAAATGTCAGGATGTTATTTCTGGCCTTAGGTCTCTGGTTAGGACCCGGAAAGAAATGAGTATGCAAGAGAAATCAAAGGAAATAATAATAATAATAATGATAATAATAAAGTCTTTTTATTTTATTTTATGGAAAAGGGAAGAATCTGGCACTACTCTAGTCAAGGTTAAAGATAAGCCTTCCGTGATGAACGTGATGACAATGACAACGGATCTGTATAGCATTAGCCGTGCACCAGATTGTCCCGTGAAAATGTATTTCTGTTGCAATGCGTTTGAACAACAAATATATGGCTAAGTCGAGTAGATGCCAGTTTGTAGGGAATCAATTTTGAGACTAAAATATGTATAATAAAATGTTTTTGTGGCCTTGGCAAATAATTTTGAATTTTCAGCTTTTTACGCTTACCTCATCAAAGAAATCAATTTATGGATTATTTTTTTTCTTATTTTCACTTTTTTGTTTCCTTCTTAATTTATTTTGGTCACAGCGTCGCTCCAGTTTTCTTTCGTCTTGGTCAGCTGTCTCTCATAAGATCTTTTGGGGATCTATTTAAATTTTATTTTCTGCAACTACGCAATAAAAATAATTTTAAACACTTTTTTTTTTTTTTTACTAACAAAGAAAAACATTCTGAACTCTAACTAGGTATCTCCCTCCCAGATATGGCAGCAAAACTCCATTTTTCTGGTCTTGCTCTTTTCAAGAATGCGTCTGAATATATATATTTCTCACCCGTGCCTCTGGTTCAAACTCAAGTAAAAAAAAAAAAAAAAAAAATGCATTTTAATTCTAATTTTCAAAAACAGCCGGCTTTTCCTAGTTTGAAAAACAATCTTCCTTTACTCCTTAATTCGGCGTCGAGTAGGAGTTAACCCCTTCTATATAATTTTCACCCACCACACTATGGCAAATCGACTTGATGTAGCATGTATCGTAAAGAATGCTGAACCGACCTTCTGCATATGTGTCCGGTAGCCACCTGCATCGAATAAGTATTTCATTTCAGCCAGTATCGGTTGGTTGTTAAAGTTAATCGTAGCATAATACCAGTTGCCAGACGGAATATTCCATTTCGGAAACCCATTTTTTAATCATTTCACCCCAAGCAATGCAATAAAGGCAATGAAATGGACGTAGGGGTGATTGATTGTAACAGAATATGAAAAAAAAAGAAATCATTATTAAAGACAGAGACCAATAACAGAAATAAAAGACAGAAGATAAACGATCGACATTGCATTTAAATTTTTCAAAGTTAACAGAAAAAAGCCAGAAACCGGAAGAGAGTTCCACAATCGAGAAGTGCTATAGAAGAAACTCTCAACATAGAACTTACGGTTACATCTGGACATTTCAACTATAAAACGATCATGTCTTGGCGACAATCTAGTAGTATGATTAAAGGCATAACGTTTATCTATAAAACAGAGAAGCTCATCAGAACAATTACAATGTACATACTTATAGAAAAGGGTACAGGGAAGCTACGTTACTTAAATGAAGCCGATATGCCAGGTCAGGACTAATAACATTACAGATTCTTTGTTTTTTTTATCAAGAAACTGTAAATAAATAACTTTACTAAGAGGAGTTGGCTAGGATTAATTAAATCAAAAAAAGTAAAAAGAAACCCAATGTATAAAGTTTTAAAATATTTTATATCCGCATAAATAAAAAAAGGAAAGAAATAAAAGTAGAATAGCTCCCTTGAAGTCTAAAAGGCAGACACACTGTTTTAGAGATTTTTAAAATCATTTCACCCCAAGCAAGGCAATAAAGCCGCTAAGATGCAAGGGGTTATTGAGTGTAAAATAATAATAAAAAAGGAAGACGTCACTGAAAGAGAGGGAACAATAAAAGAACATGGACTGAGAACACAAAAGATAACGATTGACATTGCATTTAAATTTTTCAAGATCAAAGTTCACTAGAAAGCAAGAAGCGTTCCACAAGCGAGAAGTACGTATTGAGGGTACAGTGTCGCCTGAATACCGGGAATGCTTGCTGAGCATTAACTCCCATTTTGGACCGTTAATGATCACTACCAGAGACACCGAGCTAGAATTGTGCGTGGTAACAGACACAAGCTCAAATCACATCAATGCAAGAGGGACCAAACACATATCGACATTGTCGGCTCAGCGTTCTTTAACTTCTATTGGCTATGGTAGCAGAAGGCCCACCAGGTTGCTCCTATTAATACACCAACACCTGACACATTATTCACCTCAGCTTAAGATGTCATTAATTTTATCCTGAATGACTAGTAAAGTAGTCTGATGAGTAAAGGTTTCATCTGATGCTATTTGGTTATTGTTTGACCCAGACTAATTCTGGCCATGGAAACCAGTTGCAAACATGGTTCCGTTTAGGATGGTATTGTGGTTACATAATTGTGTGGAGCGTGTTCACATGTTATAATGTGGATGTTTGGTTTGCTTCGCTTTGATTTGTTTTGGTTTACGGCATTTCAATCTCAATGCGTTTTTTAATGCCAACAAGAAATTTATTGTTCATAATATTTCTTTTTTCAAAAATGTATTGCTGGTATTTTTTTTTCTTTTTTCAATACTGTATTGCTTGTAAATATTTTCTTTTTGCAAAAAATGTATTGCTGGTATTTTTTTCTTTTTTCAATACTTTATTGCTTGAATTTTTTCAGATATATGTTGCTGGTAATATTTTATTCTTAAAAAATCTAATGCTGGTAATTTTTTTCTATTTGCTTTTTTCTTTTTTCAAGAATGTATTGCTGGTAATTATTTTCTTTTTCAAAAATGGATTCCTGATAATAATTTTTCTAAAAACGTATATATAGAATTAAAAACTATTTTTATACTTTCATAGTATTATGACCCCTTTTGGTTGTTTAACTATTTGCCCATAGCTGGTTCCATGCTCCTCGAAAACTCCTGATCAAAAGCCTTGCTGCCGGATGTAGTTTATCGTCTTACCCAGGACGATGGAATGGATGCAGTGAACTAGTTAAGCGATTGTTGATTTGTTGCAGGTCTTCGTGAGCATTTTATGTCAGGTGCTATGGGTAGTATTAGTACCATGCGATCCAGTACTATCTGTTGAATCATCAACAATTAAATCGATCCCATGACAGTTTTTTTTTTCTGGTGAGTAGGGTGGCTAGACCTCCAGTAGATTCTTTTAAGAAATTGCCAAACAGCGGATAAATATCTTTGTAAGCCATCCCGTAAAGTTGGTTAGCCTACGCTCCGTAGCTATGTATGTAGACACTACAGTAAGGACACGGCATCGCTGAAAGGAAGGCTTCCTAGATGGAAGCCAACATTCAAGACAGAAGCCTCCACCAATTGAATCAGCGGCCTTGGAGTACATCGGCTGTGGTTTGATCTAAAGAGGGATGGGCCTCGCCAGATCTTTTTGCCCAAGACAACCTACAGGTAAATGAATACATCTGCAGGTAATGAACTCTTCAGATACTCAGATGCGCAGCCATTCTACGACCACATCCAATCATGGAACTGATAATAATGATGACTCCCGAGTTAATGGACTCCTTGTGAATTATTCAAGCAGGATCATGCACAGTGGCATCGGATTAAATTTGGCCAACATTGGTTTGAGAAATGATTCTAGAAACTTCTGGCGAATGGTATGGCCACCACGTCTTCCTGGCATAAGCCCACTCGAGTATTTATGTACTTGCAGATATAATCAAGGTCTTTAAAATCAGAGGCGACATGAATCTTAGCAATGTCAGAGTAGTGGGAGATCCGTGGGGATCGAAATGATTGCACTAGTAACTTGTTGAGTAAAACCAGTTGGCTAAACATTGTACTTTAGCTTAGGCACACAAGTGTGAGACACCCAATAAAGATAGATAGATAGATAGATAGATAGATAGATAATGAATAGACATCGATAGATAAATAATGAACATAATGTCAATAGAATTTGGCTAAGATAGATAGATAATGAACATACGTCAACAGATAGATAGATAGATAGATAGATAGATAGATAGATAGATTGTTTTGCTTTGTTTTACGGCATATCAACCCTAATGGGCTATTTAACGCCGAAAAAATTTTTATTGCTGGCAATATTTTATTTTGTCAGAAATCTATTTCTGTTAATAATTTTAAAAAAAAATGTGTTGCTGGTAATAATTTTTTTTTTCAAAAAACTATTGCTGGTAATATTTTTTTTTTTCAAAAAAAATTGCTGGTAATATTTTTTCCTCTAAAATGTATAGCTGGTAATAGTTTTTTTCTTCAAAAATTTATTGCTGGAAATGATTTTTTTTTTACTAAGTATTTCTGGTATTAAAACCTGTTTTTACACATTCATAGTTTTTTTTTTTTTTACTCCAGTTTCGGGTTTAACTATTTGCCCATAGCTGGGACCCTAACAGGTGCTATCTTCAGGGTGAATCTGGGAACACCAGCAATTAAGAGGTGATTCCACGCGCCTCAAAACCTCCTGATCAGAGGCCTTGCTGTTGGATGTAGTTTATCGTCTTACCCAGTACGCGGATGTAGTTTATCGTCATACCCAGGACGGAGATAGATAGATAGATAGATAGATAGATAGATAGATAGATAGATAGATAGATAAGGTAAGAAAAATCAGTAGGTTGGTAGGTGACTGGAGTAGATGAAGTAATGTCATTTTGTGCATGAAGAGTCACTAGTGGCACGTTCTTTGAGTTGAATTTAATCGGATGTTTCCTTCCTTTATCATACGTCAGCTGAACATGTCAGACAGAAGATGGCCGCCTGTACAAAAAGGGTAGATTTATTTGTCGAAGTCATGTAAGAAAGAAAAAGAGGTATTGGAATTGAAGAAAAGCAGGAGAAAGAATATGAAAGAAAGAAAGAAAGAACATAAAGAAGTATTGGAATTAAAGACGAGCAAAAGAAAGAAAGAAAGAAAGAAAGAAAGAAAGAAAGAAAGAAAGAAAGAAGTATTGGAATTGACGAAGAGTAAGAGAAAGAATGTGCAAGAAAGAAAGAAAGAAAGAAAGAAAGAAAGAAAGAAAGAAAAATAAATATTGGAATTGAAGAAAAAGCAAGAGAACGAATATGTAAAAAGAAAGAAAGAAAGAAAAATAATGAAAGAAAGAAAGATGGAAAGAAAATATATGTAGAAAATATACGTATGGTTGTGAGTGCCAGTGCATGTGCATGTGCTGTTTATGGCGCAATGTTTATGGCGGTGTGGAATAAAAAAAAAGAAGGTTAAAATCCGTTCGAAAACCAAGGAATATCACGTTGGTTTTATTTACCATCGATAAATTATTTTATCTTTAGTATGTAGTAAAGAAGCTCAGTGTTGTACACCAGAACAAGATTAGTCAAAATCAAAAACATACTTTATTAATTTCATAATTTATTGTTGGGGATATGGCGATGTAAATATCGTCTGGTAAATTTAGATTAAGTTAGCGTCGCTATTGTTGGTTCGAAGTGTTAATCCATTGGGACATGTAAAATATACGCATGCGCAGACACCATTTTTCTTTGTGTCTGTTAATTATACAAAAGCCAAATTGAATGAATATCTGGAAATACCAAT